TTTAATATCACTCAACATTATAATATGATTATTAAAATAACCAAGACTCTTAGTTGGGAGAGTAAATGTTATTTAATAAATGGGATGAAGACAGTTAACTATTCGTGAGAAAAGCAAAAGCAAAAATAAAAAGAAAGGAAAATGGAAAATTTCCCACCAACATAAATTCCTAATTAGGTGAGGATTAACATGCAAATATAAAACCTACACATCAAGAAGAACTTATAAGTGATGTTTATATAAGAATAAAAGAAGGGTGTCCTATGCATAAAATAATAGAGGATGTTACAAAAGAAAAAATAAATACACTTGGTTTCATAAAAATTAAAAACATTCCTATGTAAAGAAGCACTGTAAAAAAGTAAAAATTATTTTCAGCTTCATATAAAATTATTTTAGTTATTAAAATAATATTTTAAGTTATGGCATAGTGACTATGAGCCCAAGTCAGAGTTGACCATTCATTCATTCAAGAGTATTTCTGGGGTAGCTACTACATAACAGGCATTGTTGTAGGGACTGAGGACATAGAAAACCAAGAAACTCTTATGAAACTTACGTTCTACTGGGGGCTGACTGACTATAAACAAATATACCATGTTTCAGTGATGATCAGTGCTTTGGAGAAAATAAAGCAGGGTAAGGGATGGAAAGAATATCCGTTACAGGGACCTGTCTTTTCCTATGTCCAAGGCTTTCATGTTGAAAAGAAAGCATTCTGGTGGGATGTCAAAATGGTTCTTCCTTGTCTTTGTCATCTAGGAGACACTGTGACTAGAGGGGTTCCCGCACCCACCTCCTCCACCATCCCAGCTGAACACATACCCTCACAAATAGGTCTTTGCATTGACTGGTGTTCCAACTTGCTGATCAATGACTTCTTTCAAGATAGCTCTGGTGGTGTTGCAAGTACATTTAAGGTGACATGTAAGATTTGCAGACACTGCACATTCCCTGAAGTTCAGAGAAGTGCTGACATACTGCAAGAAGAAAACAAATTGCATAAGCCTCCTAGCTGAGGCAAGAAAGTTTTTGCTTGTGTTTTCTTCTTTTTTGGTTTATTTGGGACTGCATATACTGAGGTAAAGATGAGGGCTTGTTCTGGATAGTTCTTGAATCTCTATTTCCACACCTGCCTCCATATGCCTGTGGGGAAATGATTTTCTTCATCTGTGGAATGGGAGTGAGTGATTTGTTTACTTCTAAGAGAAAAACTAATGCTAAAGGCTGAGCATCTTGGGGACTAGAATGGAAAGAGCTTATATTCAGTGGGCATGAAATCTACATTGACTGATAAGCTAAGTTGGTGACACAGAACGTGGCTTTCACCAAGAACGTCATATTGGTAACAACTGAAAGGCTTTCAAATATATTGAAAAGAAGCCTTTTATCAATGTTGTCAGCATTCTACTTTGCTTGATTGGGTCAAAGTGATAGGGATTGGATAAAGATATTGGCAAGTGAGCCATTTCCACTGTCACCGGGTATTGCCCTGGCAGTCCTGTGTAGGCAGCGATACTATCAGCTTGTCAACTCTGAAAGTGTAGAAGAGCAAAAATTCTTATGCCACATGCATGTAATCATGGATTCACTGACAACTTGTAATTGCAGAGATACATTTCTACTTCCCAGGTAGCTGTTCGATAGTTGAGGCTGCATGAATTTTTTAGGATTTTTAGTATTTAGTCACTCATGCACTAAAGCATGAACCATCTATAAAAAATTTATACATTTCAAGATACTTTTATTATGCTAAGGAGAAGTTTTGGTATAGGAAAAATTAGGTCTCTTGAAACTTAATGCTTAACTTTTATACAGGTAATCATTTTAAGTCCACCACATTGAATTAGAAACACTTAAGGTGAAAAAAAAAATTTGGTGGGAGAGTTCACAGGGAAACTGAATCTGAGTCTTGGGTTTTCATTTAGATACACACACCATCATTTGGTTTAAGTTTAAAGAGTCTAAAAGCACAGAAAGGAATGTGAAAGGTTGTGGGCCAAACCCAATAGAGCAGGAGACCTAGGAGATGTGGCACTTTTAATTATTCTATTTGTCTACCTATTGTAACAGGAAGCTGCTTATGCATGAGCACTTGTGTGTAGAGTATCTATAAGTATGTGCATAGGATTAGCAGGTAGATGATTCATTTAAGAAATTATTTCATCGATTTTTATTTTTCACTTCTATGTGTCAGACACATTTTAGGGGGTTATGACCCAAACAAAGTCCCTGCTTTTCATTTGAGGTAGTTTGATAGTTGATAAATAATCAAGGAATTCTATGATCTAAAACCTGAATAAAGCAGTATTAAGGAAGGAGTGACTGGAGGGATTATTTTAATAAGGAGATAGGGATAGAGGTGTTGTTTGAGAGAGGCCTGAATGAAGTAAGAGAGTGCACTATGCAGATATTTTGTGGAAGAGAATTCCTAAAAAGGCCACCATGAGTGAAAAAACCTGAGGTGGGAGCTTGCTCTGCAGGAGTCCAGTCTGTCTCCACCCCTATGGCCTTTGACACATCATGTAAACTCTTTGCTCCTCAACTGTAAAGAGGAGATAACAACATTTGACTTTTCCATCTGTCAGGTTGAGGCTGAGTATGGCAATGTTTGAAGGTTGACAGGCCAAGCTAAAATGATATAACACATGGAAGGCAGCAAATGACAAAGCCACGTGCTTCAGATAAGAGAGTAAGTCTTTAAAATTCATTTAGAGCTAATGACAGGTATCAGTGCTAATTGTAAGTCATAAAATGTTCTCAAATGAATTAATGGAAGAAATTATGGAATGGTCTTCTTTTGACACTCCCCTCCCCCAATGCCTAATTAATACCTACTTGTTCCAGATGTTTCCATTGTGTGAGTTATGGGCCCTGGTTTTCTTTGTAGTTCTGTAGTTGGGCTCTGGATATGACCACCTGGTTAATGTCTCAGATACAGTTACACTGCTGAATTCTTCAAACTTCTTATAGCTCATCCACACACCTCACCCTGCTTGTTGGTCTTCTTTAAGACCCTAAGAGTCAAGGATTGGCTTGAAGGAAACTTCCTTGTTCCTTCTTTGAATATATCTCCCTCCCCTGTAGCTCTTGCCTTGATTTGGCCCTCAAACTTTGAAGCAGAAGTCACCTGAGGAGATCATTAAAATGACAGATTCCTGCGCCCTACCTCTGAGCTTTTGATTCCATCATGGTGGCATTGAGGGGATCTGTGCCATAAGCACCTGTAGGCTGAGAAACACTGTCAACACCATCTTTAAAATGAAGGGGTGGGATTTCTCTAGCATCCTTTCCATCTCTGACTGTATAGAAATCCAAGCGTTTTCTAATGCCCTTTATGGTTTTCTCAGGGCTGACATTACAGATAATCTCAGCAGTTCACCCTTCTTGGCAGTTGACTACCATCTTCATCTGATTCAGTCTTTTGTATTTTCTCACCACTTTATTCCACTCTAATTTTCTCATGTTTCCCTCCCTTTCTTCTTTATGGATTCTATGGGAGTGAATGAAAAGATTATAAGTATGTATAATATTTAGCCTTTTAAGGAGCACTTCTTGTAATTTTACTCCCCTATACCTAGTGTCAGTATGAAGCTAAAATTCATACTGTCAATAGAGAGCTAAAATTCTCTCTACTCTTTGAGTCTCTGGATGACACCTTGGGGACATGGCTTATGCAGCTCACAACAATGCTCACAGACCATACATACTTCTTTTTGTGGTGCTGGGGATACTTATCACTATGCCTTATGCTTTTCTGTCTCTTAAATTGGGATGAGTCACTGACTTTTCTTCTCCTTCATAGGTGTAAAAAATGCAAAGATCCTGCCTTTTCTTATCCCAAAGCCTTATTGGTGATTGGGTTGAATATACAACCTGGGACTATTAAGTGGGCATCAGTACACACTCTTGGAAAATTTACTGGCTCTTCTGGCAACACATTTTTCCATTTTTTTCTCTCAGAAATACTCGAGGGCACTATTTGCAGTATTGGTGTAGTTATTGGTATTATAAACATGACTTCCCTTCTTAATGATCTTCCATCTGCCTCTAACACCTCATGAGAGGACCTTCTAGGCAGTTATTTTATAGGCACTCGGGCTCCACATTTGACTGGAATCTGTGTGGAAAGAAGAACTGGTAGGGAGAGGCATACATATGTTGTATGTATTATCTTGAGAGAATCACCTTCTCTATTCTAATTTCATTATATTTATTATCTTTATGGTTCCATAACTGCACAGGACAGTCAGACATGTTCTCAACCTCTTGCATGAGCAAAATATTGCTTTCTGTGATTTTTACATCCTTGTTTTGAAAATCAGATGACTTTAGTGTGACCATAAATAGGAAAGCCAAAAGCTCTGAGCGGGAACCTGAAGGCCAGATGGGGAGGGAGTGCTTCCTCCCCTGGGCACCTCTCAGCCTTGCTCTCTGACGCTCGCTGAAAGTTTCCAGGCTGTCATCTAAAGTCATTTGGTGTTTCACCTAGGCATGGACTTTTTCAGCACTGATGCATCAACCACAGAGGCAAAGGCAACAACCCAGTAATATCAAAACAGGTAGAGTGGGAGGATGGATGAACCTGAGCACTTAGAAAGAGGAATGTTCCTATAAAACAGAGACAGTTGGCAGTAGGGCCAGTGAAAAATGATACCAATTGTATAAAGCAAAATGCCACCCATCAAGCAGAACATTTTAATTCTATTTCAGGCTATTTATGATGTTTTGTCCAAGACTCAATACATGTCTGTAGAAATAAAAAATGGAATATATCCAATCTGTTAGGTAGAAGGGGGCCTGTGCTGGGGGGAAAAAAAAAAAGTAAGAAAATATCACAAGCTTGTTGTTGGAGAATTCCAGAGGCTGGGCGCAGAGGCACAATATCACTTTGCTCCTTTTGCACTTTTCCCTTTTTGAGTTGAACTTTCTACTTTGATTGATCACCCGTACTATCTTTCTTTAAAACAAAACAAAAGCTACAGAACTCTGTTTTCCAGGGCCACTTACCCTTTCAGTTCTGCTGGAGGTGGTCGAGGGCTCACAGCTGGTTTCCTGGAAGAGTGCCACAAGATGGCGACAACGTCACGGTGGAGAACGGCCAACTGCTACTGTTAGACACCAATACAAGCATCCTCAACTTACTGCACGTTAAAGGTTTGTGGAGTTTGGAGATCAGCGGTGACATTAGTATATATAATTCTGTCACTTTTCGGGGAAAGGAGGGAGGGGAACTTTTTGGATAATTTCTAGCATTTGGTTGACAATTTATTCTTCAACCAACTTGAGATTTTACTATGAGAGGAAGAAGTAGTCAGAGGGTTCAAAACATAAGGCGTTTTTTTGGAGCTTTATAAGCACAGAGCTTGATTATTTTAATTTTTCAAATACAAAAAAGTTACCATTGTTCTCAAATAATATGCTTTTTTATTCAAGTACTTTGTAGTCATGCTTGTCCAGGGCAGACCCCACAATACAGCAAAAGGCCCTGAAATCGCTTATTGCTGCTGCCTTTGAAATTCCCTGCCAAGAAACCAATGTTTTCCTGCTTTTACCCTGTTGTGGTTTTGACTTCCTGGTCCCATGGAAAGTCATATAAATAGGCTTCCCTTATTGCAAAACTGGCCACATAGCTCTAGGGCCTGGGAAGTTGGAAGAGACTAAGAATTCAAATTTCAAGTCCTTTACCACATCACCAAGTGACTACGTCAGTTATTTTACCTCTTTATGCCTTTGTTTCCTTATATCTGTTAAATGAGAATAAAAATTATTGCCTACTTCAATGGTTGATAATAGGGGATGGTTATCAAAGTGACTCTGTTCATTGGAGAATGAAAATTGCTTGGGAAATATGATTAGTTATAGTTATCTATAAAACTGCACTAAAACACTATTCTTTACTATAAATATATTTAACAATTACAGGAGAATTTGTTCTTGTTAAAATGAGAGCATAGCCACATGAGGAAAAATATAATACTTTAAAGGGAATAAACGGATACAGCTTTTTTTTTTTTAAATCTGATACAACTTTGATACTTGTCTCTTACAGATGGAATGAGGTTTTTCTGATTAGGTATTTTATTATTCTACGAGGTGTGATCACAGAATACGGTGAATGTTTAAATAAAAAAAAAATATTACACATTGCCATTACCCCCTTCAGAATATTCCCCCTTGCTTCAGACACACTTATCCCATCATTCTTGCCATTTTCTGAAGCAGGCCTGGAAGTCCTCTTTTATGAGTGTCTTTAATTGTGCTGTCCTGGTTGCCTCCATGTCCTGAATCGATTCAAAATGTTTCCCTTTCATGGTCATTTTGACTTTGGGGAAGAGTCAGAAGTCAAAGGGTGCCAGATCCGGTGAATAAGGTGGATGAAGACACAGTGTAATGTTTTTATTTGACAGCAATTTCTGTATACCAAAAGTGATATGTGACACAGAGGGTTGTCATGGCAGAGAATGATTTATGGCACACTTTAAAACACACTTTCTCTCAACTGTAGCTCACACCTGACTGACTGCACCGAACAAGTTGAAACTTGTCACACACTGTTACTAAGGTTCGATGTGCTGCTTCCCATATTAAGATCCCTGCCTTTCCATTGGATGGCACTCAGCAGCAGCATTCACCTTATTTTTTCATCACACCTCATGTACTCTGGAAGCTCTTTATCTTTTCTCTAGTAGCAAGGAGAAGTTTTAAGGCAAATCAGTTAGTATCCTCTAGGAAAAATGGTCTGTCATCTTGGGCTCTTGTCCTGTCTTTGTGGTGTGTGCTTGTGTGTAGCCAGGGGCTATGGGGAGTGCTGACTTATTGACAGCCATCAACTACCTAAAGACTAGCAATGACAAAGGAAAATTACAGACTTAAAGCCTCCGTTCAGAGAAATGATGTTCTTTGCAGGCCTTTAACCAGGACTCTCCCCACAGGAGTCAAATTCTGCTGGAGAATAGGATGCCCTACAGGTGCTCAAGGGTTCTTGCCTTATATGATACCATTTGGGAGAAGTCTTCCCACTAAAAGTCCTCAGACTCAGCCGAACTGAGTCTATGGATGTCCTACTAGTTCCAGGTAAATGTTCAGTCAAGGAATGGTGTTGATAGGTCCAAAGACTGAAGACAGAGAAGAGGCGTCAGACGGAGAGAAAGGGGTCAGAAAGGCAGGGATATGTGGAATATATACTTGGCTACTCACTCTTAGAAATTTCAAGATCTGAGTAATCCAAAAACTTGCCCCCGCCTGTCACCTTCCAATACTGGTTTTCCTTAATATTTCTGGCTCAGGCAATGTTTCATCCCCATGTTATTTAGAATAAGTGAGTCAAGTTTGGAAGGGTAGAACCTCATCCCATGAAAAGATCTGTTAGCTGAAGGATCCCCTCTTTCTCTTAGGAAGTAGGATTATTGGTGGGAATGGGAGGGTAAGGGGTGGACACCTGTTTCTGTACAAATAAGATACAAGAGTTGTTCGCAGGGAGCAGGGTTGCCTAGAGTGAAACTCTGATATTTTTATCCTTGAGATATGGGTCATAGCTCCTAGAAAGAATGAGAACAGGGAAAGGACGCCGGACAAATTTGATTCAACATATGACTTGTGAATGCTTGTTATGTGGCCTAGGAACTCTGTGTGAGCTACAAGAAAAGGTGAAGAATAATAAGGTCAGTAGTGTGTATTATCACTAAGGAAAAAATAATAATTAAGGAGCAAATATAAAAGAGTAAAATTTCTAGGTCTAATATATGTGATACAGGCAGCAAAGCAGAATGCAGTCCAGTGTAATCAGGCTGTCAGGCAGGTAAGGTAAGAGTTGGATGCTGGAGAGAAGGTGACTAGCATATCATTTGTGTCTGACACAAGTTTTGATCATGTAGATAGCAATATACACACAGAATATAAGTTTGAGGGACTTCCTCATCTCATTTATTAGAACTGAACATGTCCAGTGGCTCAGGCCAGAAACCTTGGAGGCATCCTAGACTTCTTTCTTTTTCTCACATCCCATGCCCAATCCATCAGTGAGTCTTGTTGACTGGATCTTCAATATGTGTCCCATATATCAGCACCTCTATTAGTACCAACCTAGTCCTAATCAATATAATTTTTGGCCAGGACCATTTCAAATGGCCTCTTAATTGATTCCAATGTTTCTAATTATTTGTCTTCCTTAATAGCAGAACCTTGGTTTTTTATTTGGGGCAGCAACATATTCTGCTCAAATGCTCTGTTTCCTGGCCTCTTTTGTAGTTAGACATAGCCTTGTGCTTAAGAGCTGAGCAATGACAGGTAAGGGGGAAGTGTGGTACAGGACATTTGGGAAATTTCCTAAAGTAGAGCTGACCCAATAAGACGCATGTCTTATTTGTCCTTCCTTGCTTCATGAAATGGAAATGTGAGAGCTACATTTTCAGCTGCCATCTTGGACCATGAGGTGACAAATTATGAATGGGAAAGCGGAAGAATAGAAGAAAGCCAGGACCCTGATGACTTTGGAGTTGCCACAGTGGCATGGCAACGGGGACTGCCCACCTCTGAAGTTACTTTTTGTGATAAAAAAACAAACGTTCATGTGTTTAAGTTATTGATAATTGACTTTTATGCTGTATGCTAAAATAACAACCCGAATAGTTTATGTTCCATGTCCTTTAAAAATATGTCAGATCTCGTTACTTCTTTCCTCAAAACCTCTCAATGGCTTCTCATCTCTCTAGGAATAAAATCTAAACTACTTACCATTATCAAACCTTTGATCACTTCATTGACCCTGTCTTCCTCCTTTACTGTGCTTCAGCTCTTCTATGAATATACCAGGAACACACTAGCCTCAGGGCCTTTGCACATAATGTCCTATGCCTAAAATATTTTTCCTCCAAATATTCATGTGGCTGGCTCACTTATTTCATTCACTCTTTGAGAAAATGTCAGCTTATCAGAGAAGCCTTGTTGGCCATCTTTTCTAAAATTATAACCACTTCCTATTATTCTCTATCCATTTA